TTATGATTGTCAACAGGTACGACCCTTATGGATTCATACTCATTGTCCTTCTCCTGATGCACATAATGATTTTTTGGCTTGGTTTACTAAATGGCTAGCTCATACTGATAATGAAACAAAGTTCAAGTGTGCTGCTATTTGTTGGTGTACATGGCAAGGACGAAACAATGTTTTGTGGAATGGTAATTTTTGGCAGACATCTAGCGTGTACACGGAGGCTTCCATTCTGTGGCAGGAGTAGCAAGCAACGGCTTTGTCCATGGAGGCGAATAATTCACATGTTGTCGCTCCTATTTTACCGCTGGTTCCTCAAGGTGTGTTACGTGTTTTTGTGGATGCGGCTATATTTTTAGAAAATAACAGTGCTTATTTTGGCGTGTTTATTCAAGATGCAAATGGAGGTTTTATTGCTGCAAAGAACGGGTCTCTTCGCTGCTTAAATGTCCCTCATTTAGCTGAGGCTCTTGCTCTGAAAGAAGCTTTATCTTGGGTTAAAGAGAAGGGCTTCACCAGGATTGCTGTCCATTCTGATTGCCAAGCGGTTTGTAGACTTCTGATCTAAACAAAAAAGTTCATGATCTCTCATACACAGGGTGCGTGATTCAGGAATGCCGAGATTTGCAAAGATATTTTGAAGCAGTGTCTTACATGTTCAATTTGCAAAAATGATCTTTGAAGAGAGTATTTTTTTCCTCCCCTATCTTTAACCCATAAAACTTTCAGGCCCATTTACTTCAATTTTTTGTTTTTTAGTTTACTAACACTTAATTTTTAAAATCACTTGCCATCGAGATCCCTCCGGCAAATTATTGCATGGACCATGGACCACGGTAAAAAACGATGCCGTCTCTCCACTTAGGGAGAGACAGCGTCGTTAGATGCTCTTTAATTTTTTTAAATTTTTTTTAAACATAGAAGCTGCTTAGGACTTCATTGTCTTTCTCGCGTTCATCTCCAGAGCTTCGTCATCTCCCCTACTGAAATGAAGAAAAGCTCCGTTGCTGCAAAGATTCATAAGGTATTATTCCTACTAGAGCTTTGTTTATACGTTTATAGTGGTTTCTCTGCATTTTCTTGGAGTTTTTGTTGGTGAATTGATTCATAGAACATGAAACATTTTCTACCTAGGGTTTTAGTTAAGGGAATAAACACTTTTTGTCCTTGATTGACTGCCATTTGGTTGTGGCTAGGTTTCAATTGAGGCTATTAAGGAGGTTAATGGTCTTAAAGGGGACACAATTTATGCAAGCAAGAAGCTTGTAATACCATAACTCCATAATGTGGTTACCCTTTGTCTATTGTTGTTAAGTTTTATCAGTTAAAGACTTAGAGGTTAGGGAATTCAGAAATTTGTTTGCTTGATGACAATATAGAATGAAAGAACGAACTATGATGATTTTGGAAAATGGTGGTTGTTTATTTGGCTCCATGAAGTTCCAATATTTGGTAATGTTTGGTGTCCATACTATGCAATATTTATGCTACCTTATTACATCTGATATTCCTATGAATTTGTTACTCGTTTTGGTAACGTGTCTTTATTTGGATTGTATTTCTATGTCAATCTTGTATTTGTAAATAGTTAAGGGAATGAGCACTTTTTGTCATTGATTTGGTCATTTGATGGGTTACAATCACTCATTACTTTTTCATATCATTTTGCACATCATATGAGATTATTTGGTAGTTTCTGGTGTGCATGAATTTGTGAACTTCGATAATGTTGTTTTGCTTGGTTTACCTGAAATTATGCACCAGCCAACCCTTCACTAGCATACATAAGCAAGCAGTGGTAGGTAGATGAGCTTATTTGAAGTTATTTATCAAAATATCTAAATATATTGATCATTGCTGGTTTTGAACTTCTAAATGCACTAATATTGTGTTTCTGTTAGAGGTACATTAGTTATATGCATTAGGTACATTATTTTAATCCATAGGGTAACATTATTGTAATTCATAATTTATGAGTACTTTCTTATTTGAAAGTTGTTTCTAATTAAGGTACATTATTTTAATCCACATGGTACATTATTTTTATGCATGATTTATCTGTGCATGCAGTTTATTCTTTTAGTGAATATCTTATTTCCTTTTAGAGCATGGTTGGATTTATTCGGCACACCTCACCCCTCTACTTAGAAATATGATATTCACTAAGCATAATATCAATGTGTTATGTTACTAACATTTTACTTGCATCAAATATGTCTAGCCAAGAAGTAGATTTATCATTAAAAGAGGTTACCAAAATCTACCGAAAAAAGGAAAAGAACTACAAGAAATGAAGAAGACAGGTGCCCATCTGAACAGGGCGCTACTTGTAAAGAAAGAAAAACCTAAAAGAAAAATTCAAGATAAACCTATATTGCTCAAAACTAGGATGTCACCCATGGTGTTTAACAGACTGTTGGCAAATCTCACCAATGAACAAAAAAACTCTGTCAAAGAGATTGGTTTTGGATCATTGCTAGAGTTTAGATTGTCCAGCATAGACAATAGACGAAATACCTATTTGGTAGAAAACTATGATGTCTATAGTTGTACTCTAATGTTGGAGAATGCAGTGATGGAGCTGATAGAGGATGATGTGGGGAGCACATTAGGTCTCCCCAAGGGTGAGATTGAAGTTGTTGAAGGGAACAACTCAAATGCAACTGAAGAATACAAAACCCTGTTGGAAGAATGGAGAACACATTGAAAAATAGACAGTTGTTCTCTACTGGTGAAAACACTTTCCCATGGGATAGTTGAAAATAAAGACCACAGTGACATGTTTAAAAAGGATTTTGTGGTGTTTGTTGTTTCCAGTTTGTTCAAGGGCCACACTAAGTGGACATCAAACTTCAAAATCTTGTACTCATTGGTATACGTGAAAAATATCAAAAATTTGAATTGGTGTAGGTACATTTTCAAGAGTCTTACTAAAACAGTGGAGAATGAAAGATTCCAAAAAGTACATTCTGGACCATTAATCTTCTTGATGGTAATACCTTTAATTCAATTTATGTTGTTTATTCTCTTAATGCATTTTTTGCTTTCATACTAACTTTGTTTTTTTTTTTTTTTAGTTTTCATACCTTGATAGGCTGCAATTCAAAGGGCATCAGAAAGGAAATACCCTACCATATCAGCTTGGACAGTGGATATGGTCCAAAAAAGATTAGCTGTTGAAAAGGATTCTGGTGGGTATGGCAGGGGAAAAGTCTTGGATAGAGTTAGAAAAGCGGCTGCTGAGATTGAAAACAACGACATTGTTGGAGATGGGGTGGAGGCATAAGCAGTTGGTGATAAAGCTAAAATGAGCGACGTAGAGAAGATATCTATGGGAATGAAGAAACTGACTGCAGCTATAGTTGAATTTGGGAAAGTTATGGCTGAAGTTGGGAGCAAAAACACTGGGAAAGAAATTATCAAGAAAACTTTCAGCAAGATGTCTGATATGCTAAACATTGCATCAACTTCCTAGCCTGACAAGACTTCGACGTTATTGGACGATGATCCAATCTTCAGCAACGAGAGCTTTCTTGCAGCAGTGGCATCCTTGGAAAAGGCAACAGTGGAAGCATTGGAAAAGGCAATCACAGTCACCGAAGAACCTGCTGAGAACCTAAACCACTTCACCACCAAACTTCAATTTGCTAACACCTACCCCCCCCCCCCCTCCCCCCGGATGTTCATAAACCAAACGAAACAGCTACCGCACTCCCTGGTGAGGAAAGAAGCACAGAAGAGGAAAAAACATTGATTGACTTGTAAGTTAAACTCTAAAATTTTAACTTTTACTATTTTCGTGAACATGGTTGTCCTCTGTTTTAGTATTTTGTGTGTGAATTTTATTTGGTTGAGGTCCCAGAATAGTTAATAGAATAACAACTAGGCAGAAACATCCCTAGGTTAAACTTTTGATACTTAGAATCAAAAACTTGTGCTTCTAATTGAGGTACATTATTTTTATTCAGTAGGTACATTATTTTAATACATAGGGTATATTATTTTAATGTATCATTTCTATGTGTATTCTGATTTGAAAGTTGTGTTTCTGATTAAGGTACATTATTTTTGGTCATTAGGTACATTATTTTAATGAATAGGGTACATTATTTTTATGTGGCAGTGTACTTGAGGAATCAAAGTCTGATTTTGAGCATGTCCAACATGGGGAGAGGGAGAAAAGAAAATTGAAAAATCGTCCATTGCCATTGAGGTCTCCCTATTGGACGTCAAACAATGAAAAACTCTCCTTTGTCACTGCGAAGGAGAAGCTACTGTTTGAATTTGCATTCGTGGTACCGTCTGTTGAACATCCAAAAGAGTAGTTTTTCACTTTAATTATGTTTAATACTAATTTTTGTCTTTAATATGTGTTAACAGGTCATTTTCTTGCAGGGAAACGATGTTTAAGTATAGAAGGTACCACATTGCAAGGGACCAGTTCTTGACTCTACGGAGCGATGAAGTAGGGAAAACTATTGTAGATGTTTGGAGCTTAAGAATTAATTTTAAAAATATCACCCGTGGAATGGGTGAACCAAAATGCATCTACTTCACCACCCATCCTGTTGTAAGTGCCTTAGCTTTCTCTTATATTACAAAAGTATATTTGATAATGCAAGTTCTTATTGATTATTAGCTATTCTGCATAAAGTACATTATTTTTATTCACAAGGTACATAATATTTGTTCGAGTTAATTCCATTTTTGGTCCTAGACTTATTAGGGTGTTGACAATTTTCATCCTCCATAATAAAAATTGCCATTTAGTAGCCATCATTATTCAACGGTGGACACTTTTGATCCTCTGTGAAATACTCCGTCTCTTAGCCGTCTATCAGAAGGGCAAACACGTCTTTTTATATGGTCTTCTTCTCTTCCTTATATTTCTTCCTTCACTTCAGTGTATGTCGATCAACAGAACATGGTTTGGGTTAGGGGACTCATTCTGAAATAAGGTAGTACGCAGTCATTCTTCGAGTTCTTCAACAACGAGAAAGACTTATATGTATGGGGAATGGATTTCAACCGATGTATGCGAATGTGGTCAAGAACTGAGTTTGAGAACATCATGGACAAATGACAACCCCGGTAGGAGGTACTGGGAATGCTCGGGATGTAAGGTTAGTACTGAAATTCGTAATTGATTTTAATTTTTTTTTTTTGCTTTCAAATTTTGTTTTTGTTTTTGCAGAGTGCGTTAAATTAATGTACTGGAATTTATAATTGTTTGTAGTGGTTTTGATTGTTATTGTTGCAAATTTTCAGGATGGATCTAGCTATACGTTTGTGAAGTGGTATGATCCTTCAATGTGCCCTAGGTCTAAGAGGATTATACCGGGGCTTCTGAAGAGAATTAACAAAAGTGAAGAAGAAATAGCAAAATTAAAATCAAAGCCTAGAAGTGTTCCAAGAGGGGAAAATGGTGATTTGAAGGATATGCGTAGGAGCAAAAGATGTAGTTCAATGAAGCTGCTTGTTGTATGTGGGCTTATTGTATTGTTAATTGCTTATTTTACAAGTGTTAATGGAAAAAAATGAGAGGTTAGGTTTTAAGAATGAGGTGTATTTGCTCCCATAAGTGTGTTTGGCAGTGTTATGCAGTGTGTCTTTTGACATAAGGAGTGTAAGGAGTGTTATGTTTTGCTTTTTTTTTTTTGTGTATGGCAGTGTTATGCATTGTAATGAATTTGACAATGGTAATTGTAAGGAATTTGGTAATGGTAACTGTTATTGCAATGGTAATTCTATGTGTTATGACAATGTTACTTGTTCATCTTTTAAGGAATGGTAACTGTTATGGCATTATTGCAATGTTACTTGTTCATCTTTTAAGGAATGGTAACTGTTATGGCATTATTGCAATGTTACTTGTTCATCTTTTAAGGAATGTGGTAATGGTAATTGCCTAAAAAAGTAGCCATTCTAAAGCATATCAAAGAACAGAAAGTAAAAGAGATCCATGTTCAGAATATAGCCATACAAGGCATGTCATTCCAAAATGATTAAGTACATCAATGTAGCAAAAAAACCAATACAAATTCTGTCATAAGCTACATCCAAGTTTGAGTTACACAGTAGCCTACCAAAAACTAATTCCATAATATATGCATACAAGCAGTTTCATTTTCACATATCCAAAACATAAGCTACATCTAAGTTTGAGTTTCACAGTAGCCTACCAAAAACTAAATCCAGAATATATGCATACATACAACCACTTTCGGTTTCACAGTACCAAAACATCAGTCTAGAAGTCAAGTTTACTCAATGTTTAGAGGTGTGTCCGATGTGTTGGTGAACCTACACTTGAGAGTTGTTGTGGATCTTGTCCTCCTACGAAGACGTGTGTCAGAGGTATTCTTCATCTTCTTTGATTTTAACCCTAATGTAGACCTGATTGGTGCCTGAGTCATGCTTGGTGCCTGAGGTGGTCTGCTTGGTGGATGAGGTGGTGATTGGTGCCTGAGGTGGTCTGCTTGGTGGATGAGGTGGTCTGATTGGTGGCTGAGTCATGCTTGGTGCCTGAGGTGGTCTAATTGGTGCTTGAGGTCTTCTGATTGATGCCTTAGGTCTTCTGATTGGTGCCTGAGGTGGTCTGACTGGTGCCCGAGTCATGCTTGGTGCCTGAGATGGGGTGATTGGTTGTTGAGTCATCCCAAAGATACCTTCTGGCTGAGTAATAGAGATTTCTTCATGCTGAGTGCCAACCAAACCTGCCATAGGTGCATTGTCAAACAAAGCTGCAAAATTTGCTGCTTCATTCCAGAAATCAACATTTTCTTCTATCAAACCTGAAGATGCTTGTGAGGCACAAAGTTGAACTGGTGGGGCAGCAACATTTTTCTTCTTTCTATTCCTTTTTTTCTTTGGAGCCAGCTACATAATCAGAAAAGAAAATTAAACAACTAAACATACTCTATAAATCATTTAAATAAGTACATCTAACTCAACATTTAAATAAGTCAACATTACCTTTCTTTGACTTGTAGTTGGATCATCTGGGCATGTCCTAGAGTTATGGCCTATTTTGTTGCATTTCCTGCAATGCTTAACAAGCAAACTAGGGTTAACATGTGTGCCATCTTTGGTCATTTTATCTCTGCCTGTCTTCCTCAACTTTCTTGGTCTTCCAGGCTTGCTAGTGTACAATGGAGGCAATGGTGGTTCTTGGTTTGAAATGGGCCATTCTTTAGGACCAGACAGTGGCTTAATCCTTTCCCCATATGTATTCAAGTAGTTGGTAATAGAGTAGCAAGGGTCTACATAATGATGTACTGGACCATTACCATGTCTAATTCAAATGGCACACACAGCATGCTTACATGGTATCCCCGTTAAGTCCCACTTTCTACAGCTACAAGTACCCCTAAACAAATCCACAGAATGCTGCTCTATCCCCCCTAACACTGACATGCACCTTATCTCAAATAAGTTTTCATCTGCTTGATTCCCTAAACACCCACTGGCATCCTTCTCAACCGAATCTATCTTTTTCATAATGTTAGGACAGAAAGGTCCTTTCCATTTCACAGGTTTCTGTTTATTTTCAAAGAACTTTGTCATCAATATTTTCCTAATAGTTTCTAGACAAGAAATCAGAGGTTGTTTCCTTGCATCTAGTATAAGTGCATTGAAACTTTCAGAAATGTTGTTAACTAAGGCATCACTTCTAGCAAAGGGAGTGAAATGTGACCTTGACCATTCTGAAGGGTGTTTATCTCCTAGCCACTGATATGCCTCTACGTCCAACTTCCTGATTTCTGCCATAGCTTCTCTGAAGCTGTTAACTGTAGTTGCCTTGGCTGCTGTCCAGAGTGCATCCTTCATTGCTTTGCCTAGAAATCCTCCAAGCTTCATGTTCCCATGAAGATGCCTCACACAAAATCTATGTGAGGCATATGGAAACACTTCGTCAAAAGCTGGAAGAAGCCCTTTCTGTTTGTCTACAACCAATTTAAAAAACAAAACATATTACAGATATGGAGAGTATAATAGATTACACTGGTATGAACAATGTTTATACATGAGATAAATGTAAGCTGCTGTTCTGCTTCACGAGTGATTTCTAGGTCTGTTTTAATGAAATTCAAGAACCAGATCCATGAATCCTTGGTTTCTCCTTCAACAATGGCATAAGCCAGTGGGAAGATACTGTCATTCCCATCAATCCCAATAGCTGTTAATAATTGACCTCCAAATTTAGTTTTTAAATGACAACCATCAACTCCAATTAGCTTCCTACAGAACTTATATCCCTCCTTTGAAGCCTCCCAACAGAAATACATCCTTAGAAACCTAGGTTTTCCTTCATACAGTAAGTCACTGACCTTCACCTTGCATGTAGTGTTAGGGTTTGTTTTCAATCTCCAACTTGTAGCTCCATATTTTGTTGAAAAATTCAATAGCTTCTCCTTCAATGACTTGCTTTGCTTTTTTCATAGCTCTATAGGCTTGCTTGGTGGACAAATCACCCCTCATCTGCTTTGACCCTCTCTCTAAATTCTGCAGTGGTCCAGTTGCTGTTGCCACCAATCTCTTTCATCCATCTCTTTGCAATCCTAGTTGATTTCACCATGGTGTTCTCATAAACCCAACCACAGCCATCATGCAATTCATTATAACTGGCAATTCTCCATGAAAAGGCATTTTTAACTTTCCAAAGATTAATTCTGAAAGGGCAACCAGCTTGTTTACATCTAACATAGACCCTCTCTTTATCATTCCTAATAAACTTCAATTCCTTACCATTGTTGAAACCATAATTGTGGACTGCATCTTTGAATTCTACCTTTGATGCAAATGTTAAACCAACACAGAATTTTGGGGAACGCATTTGAGTGGTAGCCCTAAATTCTGGCCATTTCATGTTGCCTTCTTCATCACTGTCCTTAGCACTATCTTCATCAGACAATTGTAGACCATGATCATTGTCTACAACCCTAGTACTCTCCCCATCAACAGGTTGTTCACTTTCTCTTACCCCATCAAACTCCACATTGTTATCAACATTGGCCTCAAACTCTAGGTCATCATTTCCCACTTCATCACCACTGGTCTCAAACTCATCTAAATAATCCCCAGATTCTGACTCACCCTCACTTTCTACTGATGGTGCTTCACCCTCACCTTCTCCACCACCTACTACCCAAACCTCAATCTCTTTGGGAAACATTCCAACATTGCAAATAGCCCAACAATCGCTATCATTACTTAATTCAAATATGGTGTCACTACCAGTAGGGGTGAAATATTTAAAGGTGTCTAACATATTGTATCACAACTCCTCAACTGTTTCCCTAAGAGTTATCATGCCCCACAAATCAATGTCTAAATGAAAACTGTTAACAACCCCTCCAATATATCCAATTCCATGTGTCTTAAGACGACCACCATTTCTTAACTTCATATTGAATTGAGCTGTGTTACTTCCTCCATCTATGTAGCAATTTAAAACAGTTTACTAATTAAAAGTCAACAAAGCAACAAAACAGAGAAACATACAAAGCAAATTGTGGTCCCCTTTCAAAGGAAAATAAAAAATAAAAAATAAAAATAAAAATAAAAATAAAAATAAAAACTACTGCCCCATGTGGTCCCCCTTTGAATACACAAACAAATGGAGATGTACTGCATTTAAAGTGAAACACCACCCACACCATTCAAAGCATATGGGTATCAAACAACAAACAACCACTGACATGTACGGAATATTTAAAGCTAATGAAATTGCACTTTTTCAGTTCAGTATATACCCACAACTCACACTATATATACCAGCAACAAGCATAACAAATCAACCTATGTCATATTCTACCACACATTAACAAAACACATACGATTTTGCAACTATTATGTTCACTACAAACACACAACACTCAAATTCACCTAGGGTTTCGCTATTATTCTCAAACTACGTATACATACAACGCATAAAAATCCAAAATTACCGGGGGTATTGTTGTCGCCTTGTCTGACGCCATCCATTGTGCTTGCTCCCTACGTCCTCGCCTTCGCATTCGCCTTCGAGAAGATTAGGGTTACTGTGGCCTTCGAACTTCTGAGCTGCTTCTGTACGTATAAGTTGTTTATTACAAGTAAATAGCATTTGACTTATAGGCTTAGAGAAGAAGACCATTTAAAAGACGTGTTTGCCCTTCTGATAGACGGCTAAGAGACAGAGTATGTGACGGAGGATCAAAAGTGTCCACCATTGAATAATGGTGGCTACTAAATGGTAATTTTTATTATGGATGATGAAAATTGTCAACACCCTAATAAGTCTAGGACCAAAAATGGCATTAACTCTATTTGTTCATAGAGTACATTATTTGTGTACATAAAGCTTAGGTGTATATAGTACATAATTTGACGGTGTAATATGTTTAGTTTGTAATATAATTTTGTGTTCAGATGCTAATTGATGATGTTGCTGAATGGAAAATAGAAGTCTCTGCAAAGGCAAAACAAAGACGATTCAATGAATGTTTGGATTATGAGCTTAAATTGGCCTCTAACATTGACATTTCTGATGCAGAACT